CGTGTTCCTCATTACTCTCTTGAATGTGTTTGTGAGTGTCCTAAATATCTTTCGGTTTCACCTCATTCCAATCAATAGTTAGAAAAGTAGTACAGGGTAGAATCTGAAAAATGTATTATTGAAATGACCTATTAAGTCATCTGGTCTTCTGTTCTTTCATTRCATGAAAACTCCCCTCATATTTTTTAAGACGTTTTCCCAAAGCCTGATATTTTGTGTTCAATAACTTTTTTCTCYAWAGATGCATTACTTTTTTGTGCCTGTGGTTGTAATTATTTCCCTTCATTCTTGGTATTTACATTGCAAATACTACCAGACTGCTCTTTACAGTGCTTTCTCTGAGAGCTCTTAGATRTGCTATAAATGTGTTTATACAGAAAATTAAATAGTAATCTATTAGAAAGCATTGCTCGGCTCAAACTTCTCTAGTTTTCATCATCTGGTTCTGGTAATCTGATGCTCAGCTGACTGTAGTATTCCATGTGGGATCATATGGGAACTGTATTAACTGTTAAAATGTCCATTCTGCAMTATCTCCAGATGCATGTGTGCATTCAGCACAGGGTTGTATTGATCTTTGCAGCTGTGCTGCAAGCTGTTGTTTATTGGCTGYCTGCAATCCCTCCTAGGTGTCCTTTGTTCTTCATTCCATGAGTTTTTCATCTGACTGTGGACATACGTGAGGACTTTCTTCCAGATGGAGTCAACCTTTGTGCAGTCTTGCAGCGGCTGTGCTTCTGTTTTGTTCAGTAGTATCCATGGAAAGCATATTTCCATTTCACCACATCCTTTGGGAAGAGCTGTCACAGAATGAATCTGGCTCTCTTTCTCTCTATACTTTCAGTGAGGGTTTAGCAAAATACCTGGCAAGGAGATTCAGATCATTCACTGGTTGCCAGACCTGCGTGCCTCAATGTAGGTGCACCCTGGAAGGCAGAGTCCACAACACAAGCAGGGAATTGATAGCCTTTGTCTTAAATGAGTCTCCTCCTGCAGCATTCATGATTTTCTCAGCCACCTGAGTAACTATTTCCTTTCTTCATTCTGAAGGTAAAGTAATTCCTACTCAGAACGTACTCTGTGCTTTGTGCTGTCCTCTCCATTTCCCTGCAATACGATGCCTGTTCACTGGCTTTACAGGCAGCTAATTCTGTATTTGGAGAAGAACACAGTGAGGAAGGGCCAGAAAGAATCCTGAGAGAAAGATTCCTTTCCTAGTGTTGGGTATGCACAGTCTCCTCAGGCCATATCTGTAGCAGCCTTTTCTTCCCTGAATTCCCATGGTTATAACCATTTCTGTTGCAGACATAGGGTTGAGTGAAAGATTTCTTTTGCTACTGATTTTGTTGTAGCATATCCAGCATTTTCAGACCAAGTTGCAATAGTATTTGCAGCATCATCATTGTGTTTAAAGTTATTTTTTTGTTTTATTGTTTCATTAAATATTTAATTTTATATGGTATTTTAAATTTTATTTTATTTTTATTTAAAATTCACGTGCCTTCTGTAGCAGCTTGCTGCTAATAGTAACMTGGAATAGGGTGGGCAAAAGAAGTATTTGGGAGGTCTGATGTGTCCATTGTCTGAGATGGCTGTCTCATTTCTGCCAGCTCTCTTTGAGATCATGTTCTGTCACTGCAGAAAGTTAGAAGACTTTGAATGCTGTGGGGAGGGAAAGAGGAGGGTGAGATTTTGGACAACAGTCAGAGAGTCGCCTCAAATCTTTCATCTGGCAATRCTTGTGCCTCTCCTGTGCTGATCACAAGGTCATTAGATTATCTTTGAAGACAATTAGTGAGGCTGATACTGGCCACAAAATTTTCTGTCATGTGTTGAGATCATGGTGTATTTGTGGATTCCTACATAATGAGTTTGAACTGCCAGTTCAATGGGATGCATAATTATTCTTCTTTGAGTTCATTCTCTTATTTTTTGGATGGCTCTGTGATGSGACTGATACTTTTTGTATGTAGGAGTACTAGTGGAAAAAGTGCTCCACTGAAATACTAGGAACACTGCTGGAAGGTCTTGGAGAAGATCTAGCCAAAGGTTTAAAAATGGMTATTACTATAACCCAAAACATTTATTCTTTCATTGCTCATCCTCTCTTCTCAGATGTCATCCTATGAATGCAGTATGACACATCAAAAAAACCCCAGTGAAGCCCTCCAACAAATATTTGCTCACAGTAGGTGCATGATTCATGAGGTGGTGTTCTGCCAGCATATGGACATGTTTTTTTGGTCCTGTTTATTATTAACTGCTTGGATTCCTATAAAATTCTCTAATATTGCACTTCTGCAGTGTTTATTTTGTAGTCTGCAGATTTTCCTTTATTTGAGATGCCATAAATAATGTAATGTCATGAATCACTATGCCATAGGGATTGGTACAGGTAATGTTTTTAATGAAGTCACTGGTATCCATAAGTTTTTTTCTGACTAATGGGTGGAGATTTAGTGTGGGTTTTCTTGCCATGGCCTAGGAAGGTTCATTGTGTAAATCTAAGACAGCCCAATCGTAAGTGGAGTCCCAATTAGTAAAGGTAAAATGCATTTCAACTACACTTAATGGTTGAAATTTGACTTGAAATACCCATGAGTCATTTGCTTTCTTAGCTTTTTTTTTTTTTTTCATTGATAGAGAAGGCCTGTGTCCAGGGAGTGAGTCATCTGAACTATGTAAACTACCTAAAATTAGGATGAGATAGTTCATCTCTGGTAGCCCCTAATTTTTTTCTGATGAATAGGGTATGGGAATCCCAAATGAGATTTAGAGTCTATACCCAGATTTTACGTAGATAAAAGCACATGGGGTGAATCTTTCCAACCAAGGCAGCCATAGCATTCAAACAAATATCAACTCTACTACCSAAAAACCTTTGAGTGCTCTGTCCTGGAGTGAGACTTACAGAGGAATGAACTGACATATACTGTTGACATGCTTTTTAACACATTTCTGAGGAATGCAGAATGTTTTAATTAAAGCTATGGTCCTGAATGAAAAAGAAGTTTTCTTGATTCAACAGAAGTACAAACACTCACTGAGTAGTTGCACAAAATTAATGTGATTGACTTGGAATGTAGAATAAGGTAGTGCCACAAATCTGGTGATAGTTCTTATATTGCTACTTTCTAAATGTGCAGAAGTTTCAGTTTAGAAGACATTCCAGGGATAATCTTCTGCTTTAGAAAACRAGGCAAACTTTACCAGGAAATGAGAGTTTTCAGAGATCTGTCTTGATGAAAATCCTCTCAGTGAACCTTAAATGGTGGAGTTGAGAAACTGAGTGGATCCACAGTKCCTTTCACCAGTCACCCAGCTTTCCAAAATCCATTGTCTTTTTTGGCTGTAGGGTAAATAGTGTTTTCTGAAGTTGAAGTTAGATGTTATGAAGGTGTTCTAACCATGTTTTGATGAGTAGGTACAGAAATAAATTATCTTCCTGCAGCAACAATTTCACAAATGTCCAGGTTCTTCTCTATGACTGCTGCTGAAGTCCATGGTACAAGTCAGAAAGCGACTTCGTGCAAAGGGTGTGTTTCAGAACTTTATTTTTCACTCTTGCTTATAAGGCCATAACTTGCTTTCTTTCTCCTGTGAGCATTTAATTTGGTTAATTTCTGTTTTCCATAACAGTATTTTTTCAAAAGCACGAGTGGTCTCATTTTCTTCTCACTTCAGATCAATACTGATATAATTTCTGTTTGGTAGTAGTGCCAATACCACTAGGCCCAGGAACATTATTATATGCCTTGTTTAAATTCAGGCAAATTCCAGCATASCAGGCAAGATTTCAAGTGTTAGCTAATATTGTATTCTAACTCTTGCAGTTAGTCAACAGTTTGTTCGAAATGTACTCCACAACTTGTATTTAGGACTTGAACAATTTGTTGGTTCATACACAGTAACTATGTTTTTGTGTTTTCTTTTGCTTTGCCAAGACAACAAAATCTTCAGCAAATGACTATTTTATGTAGATTTATAGGCAATTGGCATTATTTTGCAAACCATGTGCAACATAATGAGTCATTAAGATTTCAAAATTTGATACTGGAGGGAGAGAAGGAACCAAATTATATACAAGACCTTGGAGCAAAAAATATTTTCTTTTGCTTATGGTGTGACGTTCAATGACTGTAAGTTACAAATCAAGATTTCTATCCTTTGCTTATGCAGCTGCTGCTTTTACATGTTTCATTCACAATGTTTTTTCATGAAACAGCAAGCTGACACTTGCTATGTTTTCTGTTCATTTTTCTGAGTTGCAGACTGGAACGACATAGCCTATGAACCGTATTTGAATCTGTGAGCTATGTTTGATTTCTGTGGGCACAGGTCCAAAATCAGTATAGCTCTGTCTTGTTTTGATCTGAAAAAAAATGCAAAGCATTTTTGAAAGAGGTTGGTACTGCTAGCCCTGTTTCACAGACACCAAAACTGAAACAGGTCTTGTATGGCCTTGTGGCCTACAGTCAGTTAAGCAGTGTTGCCTGGCTTTCACTGGGAACTCATGGAAGCAGGACTCATGAGGTTTTTGAAGTGGTTTTTGAGGTTTTTGAGTGGGATTTGAGGTCTGAGTCATGATAGGCAGTTCTTGTGTTTGGTTTAATTTCTAAGTTGTTTCCTGTAACTAGGGCCTTAAACCTGTAGCACTTGACTGCTTGTTGCTGATTCTCTCACTGACTTTGGAAGATGGTCAATGTTTCTGTGCCTCAAAGTGGAATAAATTCATTGATGTCAGCAAGAATTAACTAATGTTTGGAGTTACTAAAGTGAATAGAACCTTGACTATCATTTATCCATCCACATTTTATATTAATAATCTTAAGTGTTCTTTTTAATGAAACAAAGAGTAGTTTTCCTCCAGGTATGCAGCTTGAGGCTTGTTAGACCACAAATTAATAGAGCAGAAGTACTTGTGATTTTTGGCTGAGAATTGAAGACTGAATTTTTAAAAACAAACTGTGTCTGATAACTTTCTATTCCCTTCTTTCTAGGATTCATCAACTTGAGAAAACTAGAATGGACAAATAAACAAACAAAATCCCTGAAATTTAATGTAAAACAAAGGAAAAGCTCTTCATAAATGTAAGATAATTATTTGAAAATTAATTGTGTCTGATAGGATAATGGAACTTTCTGTTGCTGATTTTTTTGCTTTTATATTCTTCAATTTTCATCTCCTTTATTTCAATGCACATGGTGAAATACATTGAGATTTACATATGGATATTTTATCTGTCAATCTAATTGTGCTTTGAAGGTTTCTATCAGTAATACCTTACAAATCCTTACTTTAGAATAAGATACATTTTGCCCAGATATCTTGGGCAAGATATCTGACTCTAAGTGTCTGTGTTGAAGTCTGSTGAAAGAAATGGGAATCTTTTCACTGACTATCAGGGATCAAACTTCCCAAAAATACTTTGGCCTAAATTTTRTATCTACTTAGACATAAAGAGGTGAATAAGATTTCATTCTTTCTTAAAGAAGAATTGCTATTGTTAACTATATTAGCAACTCCCCTGGAAACAGAATTATAAGGAAGCACAGTTTAATAGTATTTGGAGTTCAAGCCTCCATTTTGATAAGATATTTGGTACAGACATTTTACACTAATTCAGACTCTTACTCAATTTTATTTAAATTTATTTCTTCTATTTTAATTTAACCAAGGAATTAAATTTTTGTTATTTACTTGATGAAATATATTGACTAATATTTATACATTCATGTACTGGCATAAACCCTCCAATGAATACAGATTGWAAGAGCTGTCTTTCATTATTTCCTCTTTATGGACTCTGATTTAGATACCTTACTTACATGCTTTTATCCATGTGCTTGATTGATTTTAATGATATAAAATTGTCAGAGTGGCTGCAAATGAAATTCCTCATGCAGGAAGTCATCCAATAATTATTTCTGTGAAAAATTGCTGAATTTTCCTGAAAAGTGGCTCAAATGATTCCATCAGGAAAAAAACCCCACATTTTGGGGAGAAAGATTGCTCTGAAATTTAGGTCTTTACTCTCAAAATTAAGTCAGAGTATCAATACCACCCTGTGATGAATATATTTTGATTGTAAACACAGTGGTTTTTTTGCACTTGCCAAAGAAATGTGGTTTTTCCAAATGACAAGCGAAGAAAAAACAGCTTGTTTCAGAGGTATGGGAGGGGCAAAACTGTGTTTCCTCCTCTATTTTTCTTTTCTTCTACCAAAAGTCAGTGAAGGGGCTTAGTGAAAAGTCTCTTTAAGAAGTAAGCAGAATTTGTTGTGAGGGAGGGAGAAGAGGCTGAGGGAAAGCACAAAGTGCTGCCATTGGAGAGGGCCAAGACAGCTGAATCAGGGTGATACAGACTTTTCATTATCAGAAACAATTGCTCCTGCAARAACAGCATGGGACTTCATGAAATGTTTTTGAACTCGGATTCCTGATAGGAGCACATTACATAACTTGTGCTTTGTGAGTGCTGGCAACTGGCAACCTACAGAAAGACACAGCCAGAAGCAATGTGCTCAGCTGCTTGCTTTTGCTTTAAAAAAAAGCCAAGCATTAAACAGACAAGSCTATCTTTACCCTTCCCCCTGCTCCCTTCATCAACAGAAGCCTGGTTTTCATCACAGATTAATAAGCAAAACCTTCTATCATTTTGCTGTGCTTCCCACAGCCTTTTGGTAGGAGTTAACAATGCTCCGAGTCAACATTGCCATGGTGCTTGAAATGTCTTTGCATGTTTGTTCACTTGAAAGAGTTGTGGCGATGGGATTAGAGAAAGGCTTTTAAATCCATCAGTGTGTACAACCTCAAAAACTTTAGGATGGTTTTGATTGTGTTTGGTTTGACAAAAATCTGTTGGGGAACTGTCTTGCTTTTTGTCTTTTATAATAACAATAATTTTTTTATAAAAGAGCCCATGTTATGTATTCAATTGCCTCCTGAAGTGATTATTTGTATCATTTGCTGTTAAGGAAATATGTCTAAGTGATGAGGAATTCTAATTAGGCAGGCTCAGCTGGAACAAATAGCCGGAGGATTTCACAATACTGTTCTAAAATTATTGGCARGCCCAGAAGCCAGGGAAATTCTTGAATTTTGGGGTTTTACCGTGGTGGACATAGCCACTAAATCTCGCTTATTTGTTTTCAAATCAATGGGTTGGTAGACCATGTGATTTCACAATCGCTGTCAGTGGTTGTTCCTCTTTCTTACTTTCTCTTCCATCTGCCCTAAAAAAGATGAAATTTTAGCCAAGCAAGCAGAACCTCTTCCACATTTCTAAGAGAAGTATTTAAAGGACTAAACACCATAGAATTTCCTTGGGTTTGGACGGGTTATTTATGACAAAAAATTTGCTTATTCTCCTCGGAGGTAGAGGCAATTCTGCTGAGCCCTTGAGGGGAACCACATTGTAGGTATTTACTGAATTTGTGAAAATTTAACAGTAAAAACACATACTAAATTCTGCTATAATGTACCCTTTTCCATGCAGTATGCTCATCAAAAACCAAGCTAAAACATTTCTGTTTTGTGTAACTCTAATACCCTGTTTATATGGTAAACACTTCTCTGTTTTGCTTTCCGAGGGCCATCATTCCCTGCCTGCCTAATCTACGGTTGCTAACAAAAATGACTGTAACAAACCAGGGAGGAACAGCCTTCTCTGGCCCTTTGTTTTCCCTCTGCTGSGTGAACTCATGTTTTTTTTTCCCCTTTGCCTTTCCTCTTTTCTCCTTTCCAGAGAAAGGAAACCATTTGTACGTTGCACTAAGGAAAAGTGATCGAAAAGTCGAAGCCCATACTTTTCTMTTCAGCGAGCGGAGATCTGTTTTCAGTCTGATGCTTGGTGAAAGGAAGCTTCAGAGCTGCAGGCCAGCTGCCAGGAATGTCTGATTTCCTTTCCACCCACTCCTATGATCTTCCCTTTTGGCAGTGATTACCGATGACCACAGCTGTCATGCTAGGTCATGGTGAGCTGTCAAGCAAGGTAGTGCACGAGATATACGAGGCTCAGTCCTTGATCTGAAGAACGAGATCTCARATTGAATCTGGTACAGGCCAGCATGTGAACATACAGCACAAAACGCCGGGCTGGCCTCACCTTGTTGTTATGGTTTTTTGGGGAGGTGGGCAAGCCCTCGGTGCTTTTCTAACCTTACGAGCTTGTGTTGCCCTGAGGCATGAGGAGGGGTTGTAATTTAGTCAGAGCAGATGATTGTCAGGAATGGGCAGGTCCTTCCAGCCCACTGAAATGAGAAATAGCACTTTGTGTGGCTGTCACCCCTCTCATATTATAAATATGTGATAATKCAGGCCAGCTCCATAATCAGTGATCAGAACAACAGACCTCAGAAAATGATGGATACTTTTGTCAGGGACATAACTTCTGTAGATAAGACTTGCCCTCTATGTAAGGCAGTATTTTGTTAAGCTTCATGTTTTCAGTGCCAAGTGCATGTTTGTCTTCTGAAGAGGTAGTATTTTACTACATTTTATGCTGTTATGCTGGCTCCAGAACGTGCTTTTTGCTGTAGCATMTGTTCCTCTTCTTGCAGCATATTAAATAACGTGACTAAAATCCATTAGGTGTTTGCTCTGTAGGCCTTCCTCCAGAGGGGGAGGCATTTGCCATAAAGTGTTTGTTTTCAAAAACATAAAAGAAAAGGTTGCTTTCTGTTTCCCAGAGACAAAAAGGTCAATGCTAGAGGGACAGAAGGTCATAAACACTGTGATTGCCCATTGTTTTTGTGGGAGTTTATTGCCGCTTTAGGCTGGCAAGGCCAAGGAACTTGCCTTCAGAATAGCCTCAGGGTATGTGGATGTAGGTGATGCTGATTTCCTTYGGTTCTCGTTTAAGATTACAGGGTCTGATAGCCGTGGTCTTGCTCTAACTGGAGGAGGATCCACCTCAGCAAGTTCCATGTGAACTTCATTTAGTATGATTTACTTCAGAACAGCAAGTATAATTTCARTCTTTTTGCTCTTTGTTCTCACAAAACACCTATGGCCTTGCAACTAATCCTACATAAAATTAAATTTGACTTTATTAAGCTCTTACACAAGGTTGGTAGAAAATTCCAGGAACTGTCTGGACAAGAGCCAGGTTCTTTACTGATTTCTCCTGGCCAAACAAGGCAATAATGACTACTTTCACAAGGCTGGGGAAGCCACTGCTACAGCTTAGAGGGGAGAAAAAAATGTAATAAATAAACAAGTCCGTCCACAAAGCCTTCCTCAGGAAACCAACATGGGAAGCACAGCATTCAGAATGACAATCTAGCACGTTTTGCCAAAGAGAGGCTTTCCAAAACAGTTGTAGAAGTGGTTGCAGTTTCCTTGAACGTCCATTTTAGTAGCATTATAGCSTCAACAGTTTATATGTTGATCAGATTTTTTTTTTCTTGCTGTCAGCTGTATTTATTGCCATTGCAGAAAGTTGTTAACCTGCGTAAGTAACCCTTGAGAGGGAGTGACAGACTCCAACAAATGCTGAACCCAGTCACCTTCCAGCCCCTGTTCATTCAGGTACAGTCAGTCCTGAAGCTGTTGTTCAGTCTCCCTGCAGGATGCCACACTTGCTTCATTTGTTCAGAAAGCTTTTCATAACTGCCCCATGTCTGCAGCACTCAGCAGTGAATATGCTTCCTCTCTTTGAATAATGGTTGAACTCCCTGTGGAAGGGGAGGTATTTAAATAACCGTGTTGCCATGTAGAGTATCTCATGATTTCAATCCTCAGAGTCCCTGAGCTATCTGAGCACATATTTATAATCAGCTTCGTGATTGCTCTCTCTGGCTATTTATCAGCTGTGAGCTGGTGTTTCCATTGTACAAGTGCAACTCTATAACTTAAGAATATGGCATGTCCTGTCGTTAGCAGAATTATTTTATTTTTTTGTCTCCATGAACAGAAAGTTCCCAGCGTAGGACAAACCTTCTTTGTGCAATAAATACACGTACACTTTCTTCTCTTTGCCTTGCTGACTTGGACTGTGGGACRTAGTTCCTGAGATGCAAAAGGGTTTCTGTGTCTGGCCCTCACTGCCATGTTAGAGGGTTCAGCTCTAAATACATTTGCAACTGGCA